TGCAAATGAATAACCCTCTAGCACAGTTTTGAGAAATTGGTTGTGGGGTTACTGTTAAAGCTGGAACTCCTTGACATGGGGGATGTCAGTTAGTTGTCTCAGCCTTATCAGTTACATCAAGTTGTCAATATAATCTCTCTACGGAATGTTAGGTGTAGTGGAATACTTGAAGTGAAGTTGGCTTTTATTCTTGAACTGTTAGGGGCCTCCTCATTTATATGGTCATGCAGCTTCATTGGCAACAAATAATGCGAATGACATAGGTAGTAATGTGGCATTTCCAAAAAGCAAAAAATAATGTAAATTGGCTGTTACGTTATATTGACATTTACATGCATTGTTAATCAACGTATCTTATAATATAAAGGATTATGTGATCTTGATCTAGTTTAAAAAGAATATGACCTTTCTGTCATGACAGTAGCTGCTTAGATAGTATTTACTCATTGGGCCATTTTTACAGCCAAAATGTCGTGTTATTTTCAATAATGCTACCAACCCAGTGGGCCACGGTCCGTAATATAGGTCACTGCAAATAATTTGTCAAGATACAATAGGTACCATTTTAGGCAAGGTCTCTGTATTTGGATGTTATTAGAAACGGTAAGAGCACAATAAAATTCTCCTGCAGAAGATTTTTTTTTTTTTGGAGAAATATAAGTTGAATTGTAAATGTCACTATGCGAGTTTGAGCATTTTGTAACTATATTATATGGGTAAGTTGCATAGATTTTTTAGGCTGCTGCTCAGTGCACTTTAAGAATATATTTTAGAGATAAATGGTTTTTGTTGCTGAGTAGCGCTAGTAAACATGCACAACCCTTTTTGTTAGTCTAATAACATTCAAAGGCTCTCTAAGAGTTCAAGTTCTTATTTGTATACAAATCTATATTATGTTTTCACTAAGCTGAATGAATACATCGAAGTAAACTCTGAAAAGTCTGCAGTATATTGCAGTTTTCCAGCTTAATTACTTTCTAAATTAAATCATGCACATATTTCTACATAAATATTTTAAAATGTTTTATCCAGTTGCTGTAAACCACTATTAATTTAACAAAATATGGACACGGCTCAAATGGGCACCATGCCCTTCTGCACACTGTATTATTATGTATTGTATTATACAATCAAAGATTTTTCCAATGATTGAAAGCATGTATGACAATAATCTCATGAACCTATGATGATCTGTCTAGAATGAGAAAAGGTGTGAAAAAGGCAGACACCAACCCGTAAAAGAGATATAAGTTAGTTCAATAAGAAATAATTGTAAGAGTTATTTTGATAAAAGGATTTTCCACTTATTTGTAATGAACTTTTCACCACACTATGATGTTTTTGGCTGTATTACATACGTTAATTGGTGGCTGAAAGTTACGTTTTGCTGGACATGCCAGCTGTCATCGTAATTTGGGGACCGAGCAGGTTTTTACAGGCCGGGGACGCAAAATCAGCTGTCCGCTTACTTACTTTAAACATGAATGCATCTACAATCAAAATCCATAGCATTGCAATAGAATTGTGTTATTGTCACCGTTGCCTAGCAACTATTTATTTTTATTTTTGCTGATTCCTCAAATTATTTCTTCACATAACATTAAATTTGTAGTTGTGTCGACCAGTGTGCATTATTATAATGGTGAATTAATAGTGGTAATAGGGTATATTGTGGTGAAAAATAGCGTTCGTACCACGGGCCGAAATGGTTTTGCAGCTCTCGATCGATTTAAGTTCTCGACTTCGTCTCGAACTTAAAAACTATCTCGAGCCGGCAAAACCTCATTTTCGGCCCTAGGTACGAAATATACTATTATATTGCAACACATGACATGATACAGAAGAAAATCAATTTTAAAATCAGAAAATAACATTGCAAATACTTCTTGTGAACAATTCAGTAGCTCCCAATAAATGTGTGTTGTTTAAAATACAACTAGTGTACATGTTGCTCGAAATCGAGCAATTTCAAATAAGTACATGAGTTGAGGAGTTACAAATAAACAAATTACTTGTTTAAAAACTAATAACAGTCATAATTTCCGACGATTTTAAAAGAGTCAACTAAAAGATTATTAACTGATAAAAATACTCACAATTTACATAACAGTCCTATTCCAGTTTAAAGGGTTAATGTTTAACTATCAAACTGTCCATGGACGGGAAAAGGTAAGCTTACAATTTAAGTCAAAGTAAAAAGGCTGTCAGCTTTTATAATGTACCGTAGGCCTACCTAAGTTATTTAGCCAATTTGTAGGTGAGGGTGTAGGCTACTTTAAACTCTACAGAACAGAGTTAGGCAAAAACTGGCAGAACTCTGAAATGGAGTTATTTATCATAGACATACTCATATGCCAAATCCTTAAAATAAAAATTCAATAATTAGTAACTTATATCATTAAACACAAACCAACATCCAACACTATACACATTTTTAATACAACATAGATAATTTACACATTGACTGTTTACAATTAACAACATGTGTTCTTCTTCAGGCATTTGACAGTTCTGGTTGTTTACATTTAAATGTCAAAGCAAATGTAATATTTAATTTCTGACAACAGCTGGAGTTTCAAAACAATATTTGTTTCCCATGTTAATCTTATGGAGAAATACGAAACTTTAAAGGGCCCCAGGGAATCACTCTCTAATTATTTACCTAAAAAGGAAGTTTCCTGCACAACTTCACGTTACGCTCTTTCCAATGACACCAAAAACATGTCAATCGGTTCAGTAGTTTCGGAGGAGTAATTGTCACAAAAATCCTGCTTGCGTGTTAAATATGTATAGATTTTAAAATTAACAGCTGTTTTATTAAAAAGTATTATCCACATGACCAAAATGTAAAGAAATCTGTGGAGGGATCTTTAAAGGCTACTGGGGCAGAGCCCTAAGCGAATTTACTTCGTTTTTCTTTTGATAACTCATCTACAGACCAAGACTTTCTTTGGACACCTCTACCAAGTTTCTACGCCCAGCCGTTCTCTCAAATTATTGGAGACAAAGTTTCCAATTAAATATTTTGATTCCCCCATGTTAATCTTATGGGGGAAACCCCAACTTTGATGGAAGATCCTGCCAAAACTAATAAAGATATCAAAAAACAAAAAACACTTTGCAAAACTACAGATCAGGGCAATTCTTTTGACACTTTTATCATCAAAATCGGTCCAAAAATGTGGGAGGAGTTTTGTTCACAAAAATCGCCTTAGCGTATTATATATATAGATAGATGTGAAAGTTTGTGTGTTTGTTTATTTGTTTGTTTGAAGTTCAATCATGCAATTAACTACTGGTTGGATTGGGCTGAAATTTGGTATAATGATAGCTCACATTCCCGATTAACATAAAACATATTCTTATCTCAAATCCTTTTGGGTTACGCCCCAGTGGCTCTGGAGTTTCCACACACAACAACTACACAAGTTAACAACACTATTAAACTTTTATTGGTTAGCACTATTGAACTTTTTTTGCATTTATGACAACAGCTAATTTGAATCAAACAGCAACAAAAAGCTGTGATATACAATGAGAACATTGAGAACTTTACTTTTATCTTTTGTTTAGATGCAGTGGTGGAACATTATGGCTATGGTAGATGTGCCAGCATCATCGTGCCAGCATCATCGCGCCAGCGATCAGCAAACGCAATAGGCATTCAAATCTTTCAGTCTTGACAGCTGCAAAAAAGCGATGGTGATGGTGCTGTGTTACCCCGATAGTGGTTGTAGTTCACAGGAAAACTCACAGATAGCAGCACTGTCTGGATACGTAGCCATTGTCTTGGTAATGTGGTTTGAAGAGACAAAATCACAAAAAACGGGGCAAAAAGCGTTGCCAGTCGGGATTTTACGGGAAAATTTTACTACAAACCTAAACCCAATCTACACCAAATTAAAGTTCAGGACCAGCACAACATAGATATATTAAACGCGGAGGTCACAGTAGACCAACTTGTATAACACTGACTCTGACCAAAGTGCCAGTACGGCGTGACTCCGATCAGAGTCGTCAGCAGTGAACGTGTTAAAGTATAAAGTAAAAAATATAAAAAAATCAGTTTGCTTGAATAATGGTGCATTATGAAAAAAAAAAAATAGTTCATCACACGGGCATAAAGTGTCTTTGCAACCTTTTGAGTTTGGGTAAAAAAGATTCACTTTAAGCCCTAGTGATGAAGCAAAGCCCCACTAGAAAAACAGGCCAAGCTGCAGGATCCACGACGTCACATTAGTGGATATTAGTGGATAGATTCATTGAATAATTCACTGCTATTTTGCAATATCCCATATGTTTTAGGTAAATAAACTGGCTGTCAGATTGTAAATGGTAAGATTTTAGTACAACTATCCACCACTGTGACGTAGTGTTGCGCTGCCCCCACTGCAGCATGGCCTGTTTTTTCTAGTGAGGCCTTAGATGAAGTATACTATTCTTCTTATCATAAATACCAGTATTTTATTTTATTGTTACACTAAGGCATCTTGTTACTATTCTTCTTATCATAAATACCAGTATTTTATTTTATTGTTACGCTAAGGCATCTTGTTAGATTATTTTAGATCTATTGACTTTGAAATAACTAGATCTACACTTTAAAATAGGTTTATCATTTCAAATTAAATCAAAGAGCAGTGATTTTAAACACACATCAGGACCACTTATTACACTGTACTTGGTTGCCTAGGAAATTTATATAGATCTGAATTTAAATAAAAGAAAGTAACTACACTAAAGTGGTAAAATGAATAACAGATGTGTAACTATTAGCTATTACATACGACAGATCAAAGAACAGTATTATTCTGTTTTGTGTCCTCTTCCGGTTGCGAAGCACGGGAATAGCAGCTTGTTTATTTATACTTTCATTTTTTAAGTTGGGTTTTTTAAACCAGTAAACAGAAAAGAACCACATAAACTGTAACAGACTTTTGTATTTCTGTAATTTTTTCTTTTAATGTTTAAAAATAACAGACAAGGTTGGGCTTACAAACCTTGTGGGTCCAAAGGATTCGGCCAGGATGGGAGCTACTCAAGGCACACACAAGACCTTCTGGCACTATCACCTTCAGGACAGTGTCAGAGGACGTGTCCTGCGTGTCGTGACAATCTATCAAAGGTCCTGGCGACACCTTCACTTCATGATGACCCACACTGAAGTTCCATCTGTACACAACACGCTTAAATGATTATTATTATAATAATAATAATATCACTTTATTGTCTTAAAGCATTCAAAATTTACAGTAAATCTGGTGAAACAGATGACATTGTAATTTCTTAGCTAACTAGATTAAAAATTAAAACAGTCAATTTTCACAAATGGTCATTTAAAGTGGAAACTAATGATGAAGAATTCTTATGAAGAATTTATTTTCAGTCTAAAACGTCATAATATACAGAATAATTATACGAAAAAGTCGGATAGTGTCGGGTATAAAATTTGGGCTCCGTATTCTAACTGAAACCGACCAGAATTTTCGGATATCCACACACCTCTAGTTACATGTACAAAAGTACTATTCTTTTAGTATTTATAAATTTAGTCATTATTTATTTATTGTCATTTATTGCTAATAACACCATGACTGTAATCCAGCGACTGATCTTAAGCAGCCCAGCAGCCGTATAGTTTTAATTACAAAATACCAAATTGAGATTTCTTGCTTTATCCGTGTTAAAAATATTAAAGACAGACAAGACAAAAATTAATAGGACTTGACAAAAGATGTGTATTTAAATTGGATAATGTTTACAAAATCATAATAATAAAATAAAACATATGTTAGTTCAAAAAAGGTAGTTTTAACATATTTTTTCAAATCAAATCAAATCAAAATCTATATTATATCTATATACTTATTTAATACGCAAGCAGGTTTTTTGTGACAATTACTTCTACGAAACTACTGAACCGATTGACATGTTTTTGGTGTCATTGGAAAGAGGGTAACGTGAAGTTGTGCAGGAAACTTTCTTTTTAGGGAAATAATGAGATATTGAGGCCCTGGAGCCCTTTAAAAATTCGTATTTCTCTATAAGGATAACATGGGAGATAATTTTTATTTACAGAAACATATATGTTTGCTACTTGAAAATAGTCAAAGTCTACTACATAATAATTGCTGTGTATTATGACTCTTAATGTATACCTACTACATTTCAATCAAGGATTGTGTACCTTAAAGTTTACCCATAATGGATCTTAATAGGTACTTTATTTTAATGCTGGGAATAGTAAAATTTAGTGGAGAACAAGTTACCATGATTTAGAAAACTTTACTATAATAATTTATGTATTTAAATCACAAATCTTTGACATTATTAATTCTTTTGAAACTAAACAGCTGATCGACAAATCAAACAAATCATCTACTTCATGTGAATAATGTTATTACACATAGTTTTTTTAACCATTCTTTTTTACTTGTGGGTGTATTTTGAGTTTGCAGTTATGAAAGCACCAAGCCAAGTAACTTTTATCTAATTTTCTTTTTAAACTAACAGTATTATTGAATTGCTACATGAACTTGACAAGTCAGGTAATTAATTGTCAGTATACCAAGGGAAGAAGAGTGGGTCCTTAAAAACAGACGAAGGCGGAGACACCCATCTAGAAAATCCAACTGAGTTTTTAAATATAGAGGTCAGTGGATTGCCAAGAAACAGATTAGACTAATAAAAGGGGGCAGTGGTTTTATTGATGAGAAATATTAATATATCAAAAAGGGCACAAGGCTTCATGTGATCAGAATCAATGGTTAACAACTTAATAGAATGTAAAGTCTTAACTGGAACAAGTGAGTGGGGACATATTTTGATTGCGATGATAAAAATTTACCCGTCTGAAACAAACTTGCCTTTCAAAATGGAAAGATGCTAATTTCTGTTACCTTTGGCATTTGCAGCGCTGTTCTTACCCAGACCAATTGAGTCATGAGCAACTATATTATATGTTGTTTTAAGTAAGGCTACATCTTTTAATAGGATACGCATATTCGTTACGGAAAACTCTGACCAGGGTAATCTTCCTGAAGGTAACTTTAAGGCTAAAATCGTAGTATTCATGGAAGTGATTATGTGATAAAAATATTGTTTTTTTAGTGTTTATTTTTAAAAGTGTGTTTTCTTCAAGCAGCATTTTTATGACCCTCAAAATATGCTACATAGGCCTATTGGTTTGATATGATAAAATGTTTTGTTAAATGTGTTTTAAAAATCTTTAAAAAATAACTACCCAATAACATTGCTCGCTGCCTATAACATACTTGAACCTGAACACTTATTAATTTACTAAATATAATACACATACAGCTAGAAAATGGCTGAACTGCTTCCCTTCCAAGGCTTCATTATTACTGCATTTAATTTTCGACGCCGAGTCAATAATGCGATGAATTTGTTTTCTAAATTCATATGTCATTTTGCAGGGCATTCAACCGCACAGGTTCACTAGTACTTATTTAATACGCAAGCAGGTTTTTTGTGACAATTACTCCTCCGAAACTACTGAACTAATTGACATGTTTTTGGTGTCATTGGAAAGAGCGTAACGTGAAGTTGTGCAGGAAACTTTCTTTTTAGGGAAATAATTAGAGAGTGAGGCCTGGGGGCCCTTTAAAGTTTCGTATTTCTCCATAAGATTAACATGGGAAACAAACATTGTTATGAAACTACAGCTGTTGTCAGAAATGCTGTTCTGCTATTTAATTTAATTTGTTTACAAGGAGAATTGTTTCTAGGTCCCATGTGGTCAATGAATTATACTTTTGCATATATTTGAAATGCTATACACTACATAACATGATAGTACTGTAATACATTAAGAGATCTTAATTTAAATAATCAATAAGCAGGATTGAGCTTTTGCCTATATGTTTTCTGGTAAGTGTGTTGTAACTGTTTCTCGTAGTATATTATAGTATCTTAAAGTTAAACCAAATTTTCTTTTCTGCATTCTCACCCCGTAGCAAAGCACGGGCAGAGCAACTAGTATAATTTATTTTGCAAAAAAAAAAACAGACATAACATAATATTATGATCCCTGTACAAAAATATTTACAATATTATTTATTTTTCTAGGTTATATTTAATTTTCTATAAAAGCTTTTTAAATCAAGCGAAATTATCCCCCACAAAGGATAATTTAATCCTGTGAGTGAGAGAGAGTAGTTATATTTTTAGAGATTTTTTAAATTAATGAAAAAAAGGAAATTTGAACAAGTTAAAGTTGAAAGTTGCGCTGGAGGACTGAGCGAAAGAACATAAGAACTAAGGCACAACAAAAGAAAGAAGGCAGGCATAGATTATTACATTCTCCCCCCCCCCCCAAGAACTAACATTCGAAAATTAGTTTCTTTTTCCTTTTCATTAGTTTTTTCTTTGGAGCAATAGTCATTTTTGGCCGAGGCTTGCGAAGGCTAACTTTGGCACTCACCAGTTCTTTAGTGATTTTCACTTTGAGCATACGTTTTCTTCTTTGTTGTTTGATTTCTTTGAATATTTCAGAATACTTCTTATTCCTCTGGTTATCACTGCTGGACTTGTTGTGGTACTGTGAGATGTCAAAGCTCTCGTCACTGACCAGGTTAATTGAATCGTCCACTAGTGACATTCTCCTCACAGTGTCGTCTCTGGAGGTTTCCACAGGTGACAAGATGGGTATGTCTTCCACGCTGTCTCATAGCACCTCCGCCATCGGCTTCTCAAGACACAATTGTGGCATTGCAGGTTCCTCTAAGCAACAACAGTTGTGTTCAAACAAGGCCATCAGGCATGGGAACACACAGCCACACTGAGCACACTTGTTTGTTTGCTTGTCATTGTTATTCTTGTGCTCTTTCCAGTACACACATTTCTTCTTGTGTCTGTAGAATGGGGTATTGTCAAACTGTAAGTCACATCCGTTACAAATTATCAACTCTGAGTCGTTCTCCGTTTTCTTCACATTCCATAGAGGTTTGGCTTTAATTTGTTTTTCTTTTGTTTTCACTTTCTTCCTTTTATCAGTTATCGCAAAGATCTTGTTCTTGATTTTGACACTAGATTCCAGCATGGCTTCCTTCAAGACTTCAAGTATATTGGAATTTTCTATCGGCTCATCGTCAACTAGACCTATCTCATTTTCTTTATCAGGCTCTTCCGTTTTCTCTCCAACCACTCGGACTGTCTGGACACTGGTGAGAATATCAGAATGTTTCTCAGAGTCTTGAACCATATCCTTAGCCTCCCAGGTTTCGGCACCAATGTTAAAAATATTAAAGACAGACAAGACAAAAATTAATAGGACTTGACAAAAGATGTGTATTTAAATTGGATAATGTTTACAAAATCATAATAATAAAATAAAACATATGTTAGTTCAAAGCAGGTAGTTTTAACATAAGAAAGAAGGCAGGCATAGATTATTACAATCCCACAAACAAAGATGTTAAAAAAAGGATAATTTGAGATCAAGATTTTTTTCTTCAGATGAGTGCTTAGAGACCCTGATAATCAAGCATTGTTTGATATGTGCTTAGTTATCCTTGATTGTAGGGCTTTAGGCACGTCGCACACAGGGTCCGCTCAGTTCAGTTGCTTCCGCAAATTTCAAAAACCATGTATTCAAATGTAGGGCCGCAAATTGGATCTGTTCTGTCAGTTCAGTTCCTTCCGCTCCGTCCGTCTTAGCCACTTTTCAGTTAGCGAGTGATTTGGACGGAAGCGGCGGAAGGACCGGAGGCGCAGCGCATGTGCCAAGTACAGCAGTCAGTCTAACTGAACTCGGGTGGTCAGACATATGTTCGCAGTAGACCTACTGTGATTATTTATTGAAGATGAGTTTCGATGAACGACTTATTTCAATAGTACAGACGTATCCATTGTTGGACGATCTGTCACACAAGGATTACTACAATATTACAATGAAGGAGGTGATCATCCTCTTCTGCAGCTATATAGTGCTAATGCTATAACAGAAATTTCTTCGTCACCACTGCTGGAACTCATAATCACACTAACGGAAACCCCACAAAAAGAAAAAAAATACTTGCGAACAATTACAGTAGTGTCTGTCGTCTACTGGCCTTTGGCGCTCAAAACGACTGAACTGAGCAGACTAAACTGACACAGTGAGTGGGAAAACTGCCGGAACTGAGCTGACTGACCTGAACTGAGCTGAGCGG